TGCCTGTTGTGTTTGCCAAGGTCAAGGAGCTTGCTTGAGAGAGGTATGTTTGGTTCCCTCCAACAGCTGTCGTTGGCAGCGCAGCGGCACACATGATCACTGTATCGTCGGCGTATATTGATAATAGCATGTGGATTTTTTGGGCTCCATAATATGTGCTTCGCATGAGTGATGGAAGGGGCATATCCGAGGAGTATAATGTATACAATATTGGGCCCAGTTGTTACGGAACTGCTTGTTTCTCAGTGGGCCGCGCCGGCTGGCTCATCGGATTCTCTGGGTGTAGTCCCATTCCTGGCCCGCAGTCCGTTTCTCTGTACCTTCATTTATATCGTATTTATTTTTCTTTGATTACACACCGACTTCAAAGAAGCCGAGTGCTTCTTCACCATTGGGCGCCATATTGTTACGGAACTGCTTGTTTCTCAGTGGGCCGCGCCGGCGGGCTCATCGGATTTTTCGGGTGTAGTTCCATCCCGGACAATCGATAACAACAAAGCTACACTTCTGTAGCAAAACAGACTCACACAACTAACTAACCAATATTCGGATCTGCTAACTCATGAACAAAATAAACAGCTGTAACAACTATGAAAATGTAAACAACAAAGGTGAGACACTTAATATAAATTAACAAAAAAACACTATTTATCAACCTTACTCTTCCAGATCGGGCCCCGGTTCCGGACCCAGCGTACCCGCTCCACCATGAGACGATCACCTACACTCGTCTCCCTCATTTTGGCCACTAAATGGCCTACATTAGCCAGTGTCGACCCTCATGCCCACTCTCCCCAACAATTTACTTTAGCCGGACATGCTTTCTTTCAATAAGTGCGTATAATTGGTTGCGTCTTCTTAAAATTTATAACATTATAATCGTCGCTTATGGCGTTTATCTTTGCAGCTATTTAGAATCTCATGCAAGTGGATATTTCGTTAACTTCACAGGTGCGTATAATGGTTTATGTATTCTTATAATTATTGGCATTAATATTTCTTTTATTTCTTTCTAATTTGCACGAGGTCTCCATTCAGATAAATAAGTATTCATGCACGTGAACATTTCTTCCCCGGGTGCGTATTAATGTTGCACATATTTATACTTATGGACAAAGTGTATAAATTCCTAAATTTTTCTCTTATCTTATACAATTAATTTTTTTTTATTTTAACACCACTAAATGGAACAGGCGACGAAATACTACAAAGATATTGCTAGTCGCCGCAAAAGAAACACGCAAGGAGGCAATTTAGAGGCAATCGTTTCGACGATTTAGGAACAATAAAAACAATAAAAACGGTAATCAGTGCAACAGGTAGGTGATATAGATCTGTATTAAATCGCTTAATTATACCTTACCCTACCTAAAGCGCTCTCAGGGGTGGTAAGGGGCGATTTAAATGGATAATTCCAATTAGGTAAGTATGTGAGCTTAGTTCGCGCAAGTGTTAATTTTAAATTTTTATATTTTACAGGCACAGATGTATCACCTTTGGAGTTTCCCTCGTTTCCCCGTTCGCACTCTAAAGTGAAGCTCGGCGTAAGTGCCTATGTATGTATAGATATAATTTATAAATACAAAAAAAAAACTAAATTTAACGACAAAAAAAATCTGCTCCTTTTCAGGAGTCTTCATCATTTCTCTGCCAAGGGCCAGAACGAGGATGGGCAAAAAGAGAAAAGGGCTCCTTTGGCTTCAGGGCCCACACCGTTGAAGTCTTATGTGGCACGAGTAGGTAGCTCATCATCGCGCAGCGTGTAGTGGAATCCGAGAAGCACGACGGAAGTAGAGAATATCCATAAACATGAGAAGTTTTCTTGTAAAGGTTGATGACGGTAAGTCACGTTCGCATGTTGGCGAAACGGTCGCGACCGTTTATCGTAGCCTGGTGGTAGCCGCCACGAATAACAAAATAACAAAATAGCTTGTGATAGAATGTGATATTAGGGTAGGTCTTACTAGAGTTTGTTTAATGTTTTCTATTTGTTTTGTCCCACTCTGTGCTAATATTTGGAATGTGCTTGCCGTAGTTAAATGAGCTTCGGAGACAGGTAACCCAGGACGATATAAAGCCGATCCTGCGCCGCACCTGTCACACAGCATATCCTAAGGGTGCCCAGAAGTGCGACAGAAACCAAATAGCCTTCAAGGTAGCGTTCATTGAATGCCGTTCGTCAGTCAAACTGATGAACTGAGCAGTTGACGAATGCTTAAGTGTTGTCCACTGTCCAGATTATGCGTAGATTAGTTAGCCTGTGTTAGGATTTGTCTTCTCTCCCCCAAGTATTTGAAATTAATTAGAAAGAAAAAAATTTATTTTTGTGAGTGTTTTTGTGGTCGATGTGTATTAATTTATTATTATTTATTAGTAAGCTTGTTAGTGGGTGTTTATTTATTTATTAATTTATTAGGAATATTGGTAAAGTTATTTTTATAAGGGTAGTAAGCCTTGTAGAAGAGAGGGGTACAGTTCTCAGAAGGGATAAGTATGGCTGAGAAACAGGTGTCTGATTGGGCTTCTGACGCTGATGGGGCGTCGGCTCTGCCACCGCCGCGACCGGTTGGGGGGCTGGTGCGAACGCCAATGAATTTCCGGGGATTTCCAGAGAGACAGATCCCGGAAGAGGGTCACCTAGTAGACTTGGAGAAAGAATTGGCGCAACAAGATAAACCTCCACGGAACCTTGAGTTCTCAAAAGCCCCGAAAGACTCAGTGCTCAAGTTGGCGGCAAACGCGGCGATCGCTCAGGCCCACCAAACGTATCGGCATGCTCTGCCATCTGGTATCAGCGAGTCCATCCGCGAGGAGATGCAAGCTGGCTTCATGGAAATGATGAAGGGCATCATTGATGTGCTCAGGCCGCCAGGGAGCCAAACCGCCGAGACTAACACTGCGCCGAAGCCGCCAAGACATGTCGAGCCGGGACCACGAACAGGCGCCATCCCGAAAGAACGGGAAGTGCCCAGTTTACGTTGCAGATGCTCAGTCGAGGAACCCGAATAACTGCCATTGCCGAGTAGAGGACCGGAGAGCGGATGATTTTCAACCGGAGGAGGCGTACGCCAATGTACAAGAAATGGCGTACATGAAGCTCGAGCGGTGAAACGTCAAGTTTGACGGCGAGGACGCGATGAATTCGGACGAGGACTTCGTATTCCGCCTGGAGTTCCTGCAGAGGCAGTATCAATGCCCGTGGAAGGAGGTCCTTCCTAGTAGCCGCAAAAGAAACACGCATGGAGGCAATTTAGAGGCAATCGTTGCGACGATTTAGGAACAATGTGCGCACACAAATACCTAAAGCTGAATATATTACGATAATCAGTCGTGCAACAGGTAGGTGATATAGATCTGTATTAAATCGCTCAATTCTACCTTACCCTACCTAAAGAGCTCTCAGGGGTGATAAGGGGCGATTTAAATGGATAATTCCAATTAGGTAAGTATGTGAGCTTAGTTCGCGCAAGTGTTAATTTTAAATTTTTATATTTTACAGGCGCAGATGGATCACCTTTTGGGTTTCCCTCACCGTTCGCACTCTAAAGTGAAGCTCGGCGTAAGTGCCTATGTATGTATAGATATAATTTATAAATACAAAAAAAAAAACTAAATTTAACGACAAAAAAATTCTGCTTCTTTTCAGGGAGTACGATCAGGAGTCTTCATCAATTCTCTCCCAAGGGCCCGAACGAGGATGGGCAAAAAGGAAACGGACTCACTCGGGGGATGTGGGTGTGGTGCCGCCTGTGGCCGCTTCTTCGTTGTTGGCCCCCGGTCGTTGGTGGCTCGTCTCGTCGCCTTAAGGGTTGCGCCGACGCTTGGCTGGCGGCGTCGCGCATATGGCTGGTGTGCGCCGCTGAGCCGAATACTGGCCTTTGGTATGTTTCGTGGGCCTCTCTGCTGCGAGACTGGTCCCTTTGTGGCCGGAGCCGTTAATTTTTATTTTTTTAATGGTTCGTCTCTCGTCGCACTTAAGTTTCAAGTTTTATTTTTTATATATATATTTTTTATATATATTTTGGGACTTGAGCGGTTTAATTTACATATACCTATTAGATTGCAGAAAAAACAAAACCAAAATTTTCATTTGTCTGTTAAGTTATTTGTTATTACGCGCTGGCTTAACTTGCCAGATGAAAATAAATTCGAATCTTTTGAGCCGATATGCAATATACAAATTTCATGCTCACTTCGAGCTGGCACGCCCGCTGTTAACCGTTGATCAAATCGAAATCCCTCTCCATTTGGGCAGCAACATCATCGGTGCCGAATTTTGGAACACGCATACATTGGCGAGGCGGCACCGTTGCTGCCCATCTGCACAACTGCATTTTCTTGGGTCAATGGCCCAAATGATAAATGACTCTTTAAGAGTGAACCGGGCGGCCAATAGCAATCGTCGCTCTTGGCGCCGTGGATCGCAAGTCTGGCGTTGCCACCCTTCAAAAATTTGGGCTCCACCGTGGGCCCAGCTTCACCCCGCATACTCTGACCATATAAAAAAAGTATCGGCGTGGCCGATAATATCGCACGCAACCAACTAAGCACACCCTCGGTGCTGCCGATAACTTCAAATGCAACAAAGTACACTGCCCTGGGGAACGCCGGCAGCAATTCGACCTGTTCTGGATTTGACACCGTCATTGCAGTTTACCACAATAGTGCGCTCATTTAGGTAGTTTTCGAGTATCGTATAAAGGTTTGATGGTAACAATTTTATCAGTTTATTCAGTAGGCCGTTATGCCACACGTGGTCAAAGGCTTCTGAGATGTCTATATAGACCGCTGAGCAAAACTGCCGCTCTTCGTATGCGCGTAATATAAATTGCATAACGCTGGCCAGTTGCTGCTCAGTGCCGTGCTCTCGCCTGAAGCCGAACTGATGGCTGGGCATTGCCTTGGCAAAATCCTGGACTTCGAAGAGCCTTGACATTAAGAGCTTCTCAAAGATCTTTGATAGGCCCGTTAAAAGGCTGATTGGGCGATAAGATGTTGCTTCAGCTGTGGTTTTCCCAGGCTTGGGAATCATAGCTATGCCAGCGTGTTTCCATTTGTTTTGGAAGTGCCCTAGCCTGAGACTAGAGTTGTAAATTAGCAGTAGGTATAACAGTGCTTTTTGTGGTAAGAGTTGGATAATTCTGTTATCTATTTTATCTTCTCCAGGTGACTTTGTTTGCTTAGTGCATTGATTTTCAGCTTAAGCTTGTTAAGCGTGATTGGCTTGATTGTCTGCTGTAGCTCCTGGTCTGTTTGCTGCTGCTGAAGCTTCTGCTGCTTCAGTTGCCTCCATTCTTCGCGAATTTCTGCACGCTCCTCATCCGAGTTTGAGAAGTTGAGAAGTGGGCTGAAACGTTCTTCAAGGTGAGCGCCGAAGGCCTTCGCTTTTTTGGCAGTTGTTTTTTTCCACATTGCGTTTGAATTTGACGCATTCCTCGCGACTCCGTTGCCAGCATTAGCCTGTGGCAGTTTTATTGGCCAGTTTGGCAGTGGCTGTTTTTTTTATTTTGTTGGTAAGTCGCCATAGCTTTTGCATTGCATATCGATCATGAGTGTCAATGTCCACAAGTATTTTATTAATGTTCTTGTTTTTCAGCTGTGCAGCCCTGTATTGCTGTCCTGCCTCTGGAGTTCGTGTCGCCATTAAGATCTGTTTGCATCTCTGTTTCAGTCCAGTTCAAGTTCTTGCCTATGGCGGCCCCGGTGACTATGTTGGTTTCCATGATGCCTGTGTGCTGCGGCATTTGCAGCTATTTAGATGTTGCGTACGAGGATATCCACTGCAACGTCGATGTCCGTGCCACTGCGGATCTCGGTGTTTAGGTGGATTTGCTGGTCAAGAACATCCTGAAATCGATGCGTATTGGCCCCAGAAGGTAGCAGTCTGCGATTATCAGTTTGAGTTGTAAAATTTTGGTTTCTGTTAGTAATCAGATTAACTCTTTAAAGCAGGTGGTCTTCGTCCAAGTCTGTTGAGGAGTGGATTCGAAGCCGATTGCTATCTAAGCCACCGTGGACTGCAAAGTCAATTGCAGAAGGACTTTTCCTTCTATCGTACGGGTAATGCGTCGCTCCACCGGTGGCCAAGACATTATAACGACAATGACAGGCGGATTGCCCCACCATGAGTGCTGGGCGTTCCAATCGCCGCAGAAAATAAGTTTGATGGAGCCGGGTCGGTGAAGTTGTCAAAATGTTTGAATAGTTTTGTGATGTGTTCGACGAACCATTTGAACACTGGTGGGCAATAGATTGGGGCAATTATAATTATTTCCCTTTTATTCTCATTTTCAAGCAACAGGGCAATAGGCATTCTCTGGAGAAAGTTCGCGTTAATTGGCTGGAGGGCAGCGTGCCTGATATCGTTACGCACAAAGATAGCGACCCCCCCCTCTACAATGCGTGCGTGCATGGGTTACACTGTACGTGTGGTAGCCTGCTACGCTTTGTATGTTAGTGCCGGACGTGACCCGAGTTTCGATGACCATCATGATTTGTATGGACTCGCGTCGAATGTACAGCTCGAGTTCCGTCATTTTGTTGCCTATGCCACATGCGTTCCAGAAAGCAATTTTAAATGGGTTGCTATTTTGGCTGCAATTGTGGATGGTCAGATGTGAATTTACTGTACTGATTGGCGCCAGACTGCGGACATTTTCAGCGGAAGTATTAGTGGCTAAAGTCGATTGAGCGGCGGTACTACCGTGTGGATGACTATACATAATTGATGGATTCATTGGCGATGGCAGCTTTCATAGAGCAGTCCATTTGGACTGTTTTGCTGTCTGATTGTTGTTGAGCTGTGTTTTACAACACATGATTATTGGTATTTGTGTTATTGTTTTTATAATGAGTGGCAATTGCAAAAGGACATTTAATAAAGTATATATTCCTCGTTTCATGCGAGTGAACATTGCCATGTTTTGTTCCAAGTTCTGGATTATATTGCTTTTGGACATTGGTGATTGTTGCCCTACCAGCTGCGGTTATTCGTCCCATTTATGCCGTTGGGGAGTTACCAGTTGACTTCCGAAAGGATTACGCAAGGAGGCAGCGTCGACACGGCTGTGCGTCAACTAGGCACCACTGGCTGGAGTAGCTCTCTTCTATTTGTTGATGTTGCTTGCTTCCTGAAATTGTACAGATGATGTTGTTGTTGTTGCTTCTGCCGTCTGTGTAGTGGCTGCTGGAGAGCTCTCAAATGCTTTTAGGCTGGGTTTCGTTCACGGACAGTGGCATTGCCGCCATCTCGTACAACCCGGCTATAGGACATATTGCTGGATCTTTCGGCTGGTTTTGGTGTACTGACATTATTTGTTGCTGATTGCTGCTGTTCCCCCGTGGAAAGATTTGGATGTTGTTTTTGATGCTGTTGCAAACGTAGTTGCCGCTGGAAGGAAGCCAAATGACTTTAGGCCGGGTTACGTACGTTGCGCACTTAGGCTCCACCTTTCTGGGTTTGGTACATGCAGTTGACATGTGCTCGCCTGTTCATTTCATGCAGACGAAGGGCCGCCTGCAATATTTTTTCGTGTGACCAAAGACCAAAGGCACCGATGGCACTGAACTGGATCTCGAGGTTTTGCTTGCCGCTCGACCGTGATGGATTGGCTGCCCAGCTCTTTCAGGTTGAGGATGCCTTCATGGCTCCCATCCGCTTTGGTCTGCAGTTCGGTTTCAAACAAATTTAGCGGCCTGCCTGTGAACCGGTGTTTTATGACTCGGATGAAACGAGTGACAAAGCCCATTTGTTCTAGATTGGCCGCTAACCATTCACAGGTTGTAGAGTGGTGGATATGCCGTAAGATTATGCGATATTCCTTTTCGCTGCGCAGTTGGTGCGTATGCAGATGAGTGCCTTCTTCAGCCAGGGCGGATAGAATTGCTTTATGCGTGGCTAGATCTTCACATTGAACACTTAGTCCAGTGCCAGAGGTTGCCTTTGTCCAGAATTTTCGCACGCCTGGATTGCTTTTCAGTTTATCCAGATAATTGCGGGCACCATTGGCAAGAAGAGCACAGGCACTTTCTTGCCTTGTGTTGCCTGTTGCTGGATTGGCTGGGGAAGTTTCTCTTTCGATTCCTGCTTCAGACTCTCGTCCTGATGTTGTTGCGATTGTTGTTGTTGTAGCGGTTGCAGTTGCTGGCATTTCTGTGGCTGCTGCCCTCTTTGTGCTGTCTGATGTCCGTGTTGCTCTGCCTCACTTTAGAGCATTTGTTGGCGGCGTGCCTCGTGGTGAAGCTTGATAGCGAAACCACTCTTAAAGATGGGCGTCGTTAACGGTAGTATTTGGAGAGCGGGATCATAGTCAGACTCGTCCATATCCACACATCTTCTCTTCAGAGGTGATCGCCACGTTGTGGCGGAGGTATTTATCGTTGCTAGTTGAGGCTTTGGTAGTTCGCTGGGCAGCAGTGGTGGCACACCTGATAGCCAGTTTTGTAGCAGTGTTGCTTTGTCATTGCTGGTAGTTTCTATTGTTGTCGTTAGCGTCTGTGTTGGTGGCGATTTTGTTAATGATGGCATCAAATTTCTTCTGGTTGTTGTAGCTGTTGCTGCTGCCACAGGGATAGAGTTGTTGGAGAAATAGCTTCCAAGGTTTAACTTGTTGTTGATGCTGTATTGGCTGTTGCTGTAATAGTTGTTGCTGAGTGCCAATTATGTTAGAATTTATGAGTGTATTGGTAAAGGAGGACTGCAAAGCAGCGTTTAGTTCTTGCTGCGTTATGTGTGTGCCGAAATTGTTGGCACTTGTCGGTAAAGCAGTTCCTTTGCCCTGTGTGTGTATTTGTTCTGCACACTATTGTAGTATGCCTGTGCCGATTTCGTTGGCACTTGGCGTTCTTCTTGTGTCTCTTACTTCTCTTTTGGCGTTTCCCAGACGCCACGCAACTTGGCAACTTGCAGATCAGCAGTCTTTAGCAGTCATAGCAGCGCTTTTAATCGACTTTTTAGGAGTTTGATGGCCTGAAACCGGACGCAATACACGATATTATTTTTATTTTATTTTTTTTAGGTGGACGATGCTATGGCCGCAAGTCTCTCCGAGTTTAGTATTGGCCCAGTAGGTCATCTTGGGAGTTTGCGTTTTCCATGTCTTCATCCAGAACGCGTTCCAGCGACTCGCAGACTTTCTGAAGACCATGATCTAGCAGTGTTTCATTGCTGTCAGCCATTTTTAACTGGCCTTGTTGAAGTTGTGGCTGCTGTCGATGTGGCAGTGATTGCAAGTTTGCTGGCTCCTCAGTTGATGTCGTTAGCGGCTGTTGTGACTACCTTGATAGAGCCTGTGGAGTTTGTATTGGCAGAGCTTGCTGTGCTTGTTGATCCTGCTGCCTCGCGTCCACATAGCCTGGTAGGATTAATCGCTGGAGTGGGGGCTGGCCCTGGATGCGGACCACTAGCTCTTCGCGAGTGATTTGTCCGCTTCTATACATTCTTCTATACGAATTTATACTTGATTCTCCGTATCTTCGGCGGCCAATTTGATTGCTGGACCCTTTGCCTGGCCTGGATTTCGGCCAGTCTCTCATTTTCTCGCCTCTCAAGCTCTTCTTCTTGAAGCCGGAGAAGTGTTGGAATTTGCTCCCTGTCTTGCATCATTTGTTGTGCCTGTTGTGTTTGCCGAGCGGTGTGTTGTATGTGAGATGGCTGTCCTTGGCGCTGTTGAGGCCCATGTCGTTGCTGCAGCGATCGTATGTGTTGTTGTATTTGCTGCGTGTAGGGGGACCCTCTGTAAGCGCTGCGGCTCAAATGGGTGCGATAGCAGATTTCGTGCCTCAGAATTTGCGTGTCTGGTCAAGGAGCTTGCTTGAGAGAGGTATGTTTGGTTCCCTCCAACAGCTGTCGTTGGCAACGCAGCGGCACACATGATCACTGTATCGTCGGCGTATATTGATAATAGCATGTGGATTTTTTGGGCTCCATAATATGTGCTTCGCATGAGTGATGGAAGGGGCATATCCGAGGAGTATAATGTATACAATATTGGGCCCAGTTGTTACGGAACTGCTTGTTTCTCAGTGGGCCGCGCCGGCTGGCTCATCGGATTCTCTGGGTGTAGTCCCATCCCTGGCCCGCAGTCCGTTTCTCTGTACCTTCATTTATATCGTATTTATTTTTCTTTGATTACACACCGACTTCAAAGAAGCCGAGTGCTTCTTCACCATTGGGCGCCATATTGTTACGGAACTGCTTGTTTCTCAGTGGGCCGCGCCGGCGGGCTCATCGGATTTTTCGGGTGTAGTTCCATCCCTGGCGCGCAGTCCGGACAATCGATAACAACAAAGCTACACTTCTGTAGCAAAACAGACTCACACAACTAACTAACCAATATTCGGATCTGCTAACTCATGAACAAAATAAACAGCTGTAACAACTATGAAAATGTAAACAACAAAGGTGAGACATTTAATATAAATTAACAAAAAGACACTATTTATCAACCTTACTCTTCCAGATCGGGCCCCGGTTCCGGACCCAGCGTACCCGCTCCACCATGAGACGATCACCTACACTCGTCTCCCTCATTTTGGCCACTAAATGGCCTACATTAGCCAGTGTCGACCCTCATGCCCACTCTCCCCAACAATTTACTTTAGCCGGACATGCTTTCTTTCAATAAGTGCGTATAATTGGTTGCGTCTTCTTAAAATTTATAACATTATAATCGTCGCTTATGGCGTTTATCTTTGCAGCTATTTAGAATCTCATGCAAGTGGATATTTCGTTAACTTCACAGGTGCGTATAATGGTTTATGTATTCTTATAATTATTGGCATTAATATTTCTTTTATTTCTTTCTAATTTGCACGAGGTCTCCATTCAGATAAATAAGTATTCATGCACGTGAACATTTCTTCCCCGGGTGCGTATTAATGTTGCACATATTTATACTTATGGACAAAGTGTATAAATTCCTAAATTTTTCTCTTATCTTATAGAATTAATTTTTTTTTTATTTTAACACCACTAAATGGAACAGGCGACGAAATACTACAAAGATATTGCTAGTCGCCGCAAAAGAAACACGCAAGGAGGCAATTTAGAGGCAATCGTTGCGACGATTTAGGAACAATAAAAACAATAAAAACGATAATCAGTCGTGCAACAGGTAGGTGATATAGATCTGTATTAAATCGCTTAATTATACCTTACCCTACCTAAAGAGCTCTCAGGGGTGGTAGGGGCAATTTAAATGGATAATTCCAATTAGGTAAGTATGTGAGCTTAGTTCACGCAAGTGTTAATTTTAAATTTTTATATTTTACAGGCGCAGATGGATCACCTTTGGAGTTTCCCTCACCGTTCGCACTCTAAAGTGAAGCTCGGCGTAAGTGCCTATGTATGTAGATATAATTTATAAATACAAAGGAAAAAACTAAATTTACCGACAAAAAAAATCTGCTCCTTTTTAGGAAGTACTTTTCAGGAGTCTTCATCATTTCTCTGCCAAGGGCCCGAACGAGGATGGGCAAAAAGAAAACGGACTCACTCGGGGGATGTGGGTGTGGTGTCGCCTGTGGCCGCTTCTTCGTTGTTGTCGCCCGGTCGTTGGTGGCTCGTCTCGTCGCCTTCAGGGTTGCGCCGACGCTTGGCTGGTGGCGTCGCGCATATGGCTGGTGTGCGCCGCTGAGCCGAATACTGGGCTTTGGTATGTTTCGTGGGCCTCTCTGCTGCGAGACTGGTCCCTTTGTTGCCAGAGCCGTTAATTTTTATTTTTTTATTGGTTCGTCTCTCGTCGCACTTAAGTTTCAAGTTTTATATTATAAGTTAACAACTAAGCATAAATATATTGCCCTAGCAATTAAGTAGCTTCGTATTAACAATGCTGACGCGCCAGAACTGAGTTCAGCGCTCTGCGCTAAGAACGGCCAGCAGCGGTAAGCTGACACTGCGTGGAATGCTGAGTCGGCTTGCCGACCATGCTTTGATGGCGTGATGCATTGAGGCTTAGGGTATTTGTATAATTTGCTTGTCCCCTAGTTTTCAGTTTTATATGAAGCGCGCAACACATAAGTCGCCGAAATAAATATACTGCTCCGGCATTGCCGATAAAACATATCTTTCGTAATATTACTGGATCAAGGAGAACATATTTTGATCAAGGGCAGCGCGGGATCAACGCAACTTACCCAAGATAACATTGTGTTACATCGCAGAACATACATTAATGAATAACTGGCGCCCAACCAATAAATAGGAACCCATACCATGTAAGTTCATAAGTGATTTCAGTTTGAAGAAATTATTCACGAACGCCACGTACCGATACGTGTGATTTTTAAAAAAAAAAAATTGTAAAGTAAAGTAAATATTGCTGCTCTCTTCTGCCAGCATTTCATTCCTTTAAATCATTGCATACTTTCACTAAAAACTGTTGCATACTTTTACCAGCGTTCCTTGTCAATAAAGCATTGCATACCTTAAACGAATAATTATTGCATACTTTCGGCAGCATTACATTTTTTGCTGCATACCCCTAACAATTTTTTATAATAAATATTGCATACCCCAAGATTCACCAGTTTCCACTATTGCCAACAGCGTTACCTGCCGATCTTTCTCGATCGGCCTAAGTTTGAAAAGTGCCAACCATAAGCCAATGAGTTGGAATTATAGGGAGATAAAAGTCGAATATAATAGTGACGATAGCTGGGAGGGGGAAATCAATTGCTCAGTAGATCCTACTCCTGCAGATACCGTTGTAACTGAAGAAATGGAGCCGGCTCAAGTTCAGAATCTCATTGAGGGTGCCATCAGGCAAGCTTTAGCGCAACAACAAAATCAGTTTCAAGCACAAATAACCGCTTTAGCTTCACAAGTACAGAGTTTGCAGGTGGAGGCGCCGCAAATCGTCACATACGAGAAAATATCCGTCGATCCAAACGCCAAATGCGATATTCCCTTGGACATTATTAAATCTGTGCCGGATTTCTCCGGCGTACAGGATGAGTATGTAGCGTGGAGGCAAGCAGCCATCTACGCGTACGAACTATTCAAGAACTATCCAAAGAGCACTGCACACTACCAAGCGGTAGCGATCATTAGGAACAAAATCAAAGGCCCAGCTGGAGCCTTACTAGTGTCTCACAACACTGTCCTAAATTTCGATGCAATACTAGCTAGGCTAGATTGCACATACTCGGACAAAACATCCTTGCGCTTGCTGAGACAATGTTTGGAGTTAGTTACGCAGGGCGAAATGTCCCTGATGCAATACTACGATGACGTCGAAAAGAAACTCACGCTCGTAACTAACAAAATTGTAATGTCTCACGACCAAGAAGGCGCGGATTTGCTCAACCGGGAGGTCAGAGACGACGCCTTGCACGCCTTTATCTCCGGTCTTAGGAAGCCGTTGAGAGCGGTTGTGTTCCCTGCACAACCAAAAGATCTACCATCCGCTCTGGCCCTTGCCAGAGAGGCAGAAGCTAGCATTGAGAGAAGCATGTTCGCGAACTCTTACGCTAAAGCCTTGCAAGACCGAGCGCAAATTGCTGAAAGTAACAAAAACCGTGCCCAAGGCAAGCAAACCAGATTTAACAAAGATGAGCAAAATCAGGAGAGAAATCCCCATTTTGTGAAACGCCAAAAGGGCGGTCCCCAGCCCCAGGCCCCTAAAGATAATCAAACTGAGGCTCCACAGCCCATGGAAGTTGACTCTTCCTCCAGATTTAGACAAAAAACCGACTACAGCAAGCGTCAGGCTAATGAGTCCAACGCACCAAAACGCAAGAATTCGTCAGACCGTTCAACAGGTCAAAGACGACAACGCGTTAACAATGTCGTACAATCAGATTCCAAAGAAGCCGTAACAGAATTCGAGAAGGCGGCCAAAGAGGCAGTTGAAGAACTAGAGAGTGAGAACGAGTACGCACCTGGTGACGACTCGATTAATTTTTTAGGGAACACTCCCGGCTTCCGTACATTGAACGACGGTTGGCTGGGAGAACTCTGAAGATGTTGATTGACACTGGCGCGGCAAAAAATTATGTGAAGCCCTTAACAGAGCTAAAGACCATAACGCCGGTCGCCAAGTCATTCTCGGTAAACTCGATCCACGGGTCTACCGAAATCAAGCGCAAATGCTTGATGAACATTTTCCAACATACCTCCCCGTTTTTTCTCCTCGATACCCTAAGTTCTTTCGACGCCATCATAGGCTTCGACTTGCTAACACAAGCCGGAGTCAAATTGAACTTGGCAAAAAACACTCTGGAATACCAGAGTACATCCGAAAAACTCCAGTACTATCAATGTGCTGATGTGAACTTCACCGATGTCAACGACATCGTAGTCCCCCCTTCCGTAAAGAAAGAGTTCAGGGACATGATACTCAGAAACAAAAGAGCCTTCTCAAATGCAGACGAAGCTCTCCCTTTTAATACTGCTGTTATCGCTACAATCCGAACAGTAGACAACGAGCCTGTGTATTCAAGATACCCGAGTCTCATGGGTGTTTCTGACTTCATAAGCAAAGAAGTCAAACAATTACTGGACGATGGCATAATCAGGCCCTCCAGATCGCCTTACAACAGCCCAACATGGGTGGTTGATAAAAAAGGCACTGACTCATACGGTAACCCAAAAAAAAGGTTGGTAATCGACTTCAGGAAACTGAACGAAAAAACCATACCGGACCGCTACCCCATGCCGAGCATCCCCATGATCTTAGCAAATCTAGGAAAGGCAAAATACTTCACTACCCTCGACCTAAAGTCGGGGTACCATCAAATTTACCTTGCGGAGCATGACCGCGAAAAGACTTCATTTTCAGTAAGCAGCGGCAAGTACGAGTTCTGTCGCCTACCATTCGGCCTGCGCAATGCAAGCAGCATATTCCAAAGGGCAATAGACGATATCCTGAGGGAACATATAGGAAAGATTTGCTTTGTCTATGTAGACGACGTCATAATTTTTTCTAAAAACGAAACGGAGCACCTTCAACACATTAACATTGTGTTAAAATGTCTAATCGACGCAAACATGCGTGTAGGCCCCGAAAAGACTCGTTTCTTCAAGGAAAGTATCGAATTCCTGGGTTTCATTGTAACCAAAGACGGAGCAACATCCGACCCCAAAAAAGTTAAAGCCATTCAGGAATTCCCTGAACCAAAGAATGTCTACAGCGTTAGGTCCTTCTTGGGGTTAGCCAACTACTATAGGGTCTTTATTAAGGACTTTGCCGCTATAGCGCGTCCGATATCGGACATACTTAAAGGGGAAAATGGTTCAGTTAGTAGGCACGTATCAAAGAAAATCCCTGTTGAATTTAATGAAGTTCAACGCGATGCATTTCACCGTCTGCGGAGTATTTTGGCATCAGAAGACGTCATGTTAATGTATCCAAACTTCCAGAAACCGTTCGATTTAACCACTGATGCTTCGGCCAGTGGAATTGGCGCGGTTCTTTCCCAAGGCAATAGGCCAATAACAATGATTTCTCGCGCCTTAAAACAGGCCGAACAAAACTATGCCACTAACGAAAGAGAATTGCTGGCCATTGTGTGGGCTTTAGGCAGATTGCAGAACTTTCTGTACGGTTCTAGGGAAATTAACATTTTCACGGACCACCAGCCGCTCACGTTCGCTGTGTCGGACAAGAACACGAATTCCAAGATTAAAAGATGGAAATCTTACATTGACCAGCACAATGCCAAAATGTTTTATAAACCGGGCAAAGAGAATCTGGTGGCGGATGCCCTTTCAAGGCAAAACATTAATGCTCTGCAAGATGGGCCCCGTTCGGACGCTGCAACCGTTCACAGCGAACTTTCCCTGACCTACACGGTCGAGACAACAGACAAACCTTTGAATTGCTTTAGGAACCAGATTGTCCTAGAGGAATCGCGTTTTCCGCTAAAGCGAAACTTGTTGCTGTTTCGCAGCAAAACACGCCACTTGATCAGTTACACTGACAAGAGCTCAATTCTCAAAACCCTCAAAGAAGTTGTGAATTCTGGAGTCGTTAATGCAATACATTGCGATCTTCCCACGTTGGCAAGTTTCCAACACGACCTGATTTTGTATTTCCCTGCTACCCAATTCTGGCATTGCAAAAATCTTGTGCAAGATATAACGGACAAAAACGAGCAGTTAGAAATCATCACTGCCGAGCACAATCGAGCGCACAGAGCAGCTCAGGAAAACATTAAACAAGTACTTCGGGACTATTATTTTCCCAATATGGCCAGTCTGGCCAAAGAAGTGGTTGCAAACTGCAGGGTCTGCACTAAAGCCAAATACGATAGGCACCCGAAGAAACAAGAACTCGGGGAAACGCCTATACCAAGTTATACTGGCGAAATGTTGCATATTGACATTTTCTCGACAGACAAGAAACAGTTCTTGACCTGCATAGACAAATTCTCAAAATTTGCAGTCGTCCAACCGATATTATCCAGAACGATAATCGATGTCACAAGCCCTCTACTGCAAATTGTTAACCTTTTTCCCGCAACCAAGACAATTTATTGCGATAACGAGGCGTCCTTCAATTCCGAGACCATCACTTCGATGCTCCGAAACGCCTACGGCATTTGCATTGTGAATGCGGCTCCGCTTCACAGCACCTCAAACGGCCAGGTGGAGCGCTTTCATAGCACCC